ACTATGACAATCACCTACAGAGTGACCAGCAGGCACTTTTCATATTAAAATCACTCTCACAGTGTAGGCTGTAGCTAGCTATTCACTAAATATATTCTTTACATATGTGTTATAATCATTTCCAGACTAAATTGTCTTACATTATTAATTCGACAGCAACCATAGTCTCTTCTTCTCTATTCCCTTGTAAAAGACATTATCTACAAGAAGGATTAAGGCTTCCTCCAATCTGAGCAGCCAATTTGAGACACTACTGAACTAGAGAGTACAAATATCAAAAAGCAAGTGGGCCTTGGTACTATCCTTTAAGGAAATGATCACAAGTCAATTAAAGCTGTATGCCTTGTCATCCACTCACAATCAAAAGCTTAGCAAGTTAACACGCTAATGTGCCAGTCTCTTGGATGAAGACAAGTCTGTGAATTCTGGGATAACAAATTGTGCCTCACTTATTCATAATGGAAAATTCAGTAGCCAGTAAATGTTACTAACAAGTAAAAATAAACTGACTTCTATAAGACACTGAGGCAAATGCTTTTCTGTGTTTAACTTTTAATAAGAGAACTGAATTCAATGAAAAATATGGATATGTTATATCTTGTCTTTCTCTATCTATCTATCTATCTATCTATACACACACGCACATATATATTTAAGAAATGGCCTAGATTATCAGGTTGGCAAAGTGTTACATCAATTCTGAGTGACTAAATGCTGTAAAATAATTTAGCGATTTCTCTGTACTGTTCCTTCAACTTCTACAGGTAATTGAATTATCTCCCAAGTGAAATTTATTGACAGATTTAATTCAAATGCTATTCATATTTCATCTTTGATCATTAGAGACATCAAAGTTAGAACAAATAATGACTTCAATAACACCTTCTAAAGGCTATCTCCTCTAGGTCACACTTAAATTATAAAGTTCACGCAAATCAATGATAATTTATTTTTTCCTAACAAGATTACCATTAGAATGTCTCAGATCAAGTGATCATCCTTCTCATATTTTTTTTTAAACAGAGTCTAATGCATCCTAGATCTGCCTGCATCTTATTATGGTGGAGAATGACCTTGAGATTCTGATCATCCTGACTCTATCTCCCAAGGGCATGTGCTACCATGCCCTGTTGATGTCCAGCTGAAGAGACCAACTTCAGGGTTTCACATTCACCAGCAACTGAGCTATCTAAACTCTCAGCCCAATTCTTTGCCACTTTGACCTTTAAAAAGAAAGATAAGAGAAAATCATCATGCTTGAAGCCAAAAAACAATTCAAAATGTGAAAGGCACACATTTTGTAGGATTACTTTGTAGAACAGGAACTGCCAAGCTATGCACACCAGCTGCCACCCTACCTACAGATGTCTCTGACACAGTAATAAAATGAGAAGCCATTTGGTTTAATAACAATAAAAAAGCAACATCCAGTCCTGGTTGCATAGCAACCAGTCATGAATGAACTCCACAGAGAATAAAAGCCTTAAACGAATGTACAGTCTGTGCAAGTTTCAAGGACTCAAAGAGATGTCAGTAGTTAATATAAATTCTAGGTGACAATTACCATATTGAGGTAGAAGATGAAGAATCTATCATGATTGCACGGAATCAGGTATTCACTAGCACCAAGAGTCAACCTCTTTGACTTATATTTTAAACCAACAAAATTATCAGAGGAAATTAATTTATACAAAATAAAAATTTCATTAAGAAAAAAGAAAGCATAAATGTCATAACTTGAACATCACTCTGTAAAACACATAGTACTTCATAAGTGTCAGATATTATCCTAGTTACTGGGCAATGGGCAGACAAGAATAGCATCAAATTCTGTAATGGAGGTAGCTTAGAAGAAAGGAACTACTATGGGAAGGTGATGTGGGATACCCTCTGTATGCTGTGAATATGTTTTATTATCATTGGTTAATAAAGAAGCTACTTTAGCCTACAGCAAGGCAGAATAGAGCTAGGCAGGAAAACTAAACTGAATGCAGGGAGAAAGAAGGTGGAGTCAGATAGACACCAGAAACTTACCAGTAGGCCACAGCCTCGTGATGATACATAGATTAATAGAAATGGGTTAATTTGAGATATAAAAACTAGCTAAAATTACACCTGAGCCATTGGCCAAACAGTGTTGTAATTAATATAGTTTCTGTATGATTATTCTGGTCTGGGCAATTGGGAAATGAAGGCACAGTCTCTGTTTACAGGAAGGCATCTGGGCCAGGCTAAGAAGGGAACTGCATGACCAGAGAACATGACACATGAACTGCCCATTCACCAAGTTACAGTTCTGACCAGCAGGACATCCAAAGCAGTACCAAGCTCGGGTTTCAAACAGAAGGAAATAGGGTGGAGGCTGGGGAAGGGGACAGGCATGTAGACAGAAGAGCTAAAGCCAAGAACATAATCACCTCTGGCAGTGATGTGAACTGTATCAGAGAGGGGGAAGCGTGAGTAAGGGCAGAGCACAAGCTAGTGAAGTAAGAGGTACTTTGAAGATAAAATCAAAAGACTTAGAAGGGTCAGAAAAAGGAGACTGAACAGTATACTCAAACTTGAGGTCTTGGTTTCTTGACCCACAAACATAACTCTAGGATATGAAACAAATGTGTACAAGATGTGTTTTTCTCAGCTCCAGAAACACTAGTTTTAATCACACCCCCCACCCCTACCCCCAAAAACAATTACATGAAAAAACGAAAGCTACTGAGTCAGAGGGAGAAATGAAAAGGTAAAGGGAAGCAAATAATAAAAATAAAAACAAAACAAAACAAAAACAAAACAAAATGTAAAATTTCTGAGTGACAAAGGAGAAGGGAAAGCTTAAGCTAGAGACGGCCCAGTGGGTAAGAACACTGATTACTTTTGCACAGGACTAAGTTCAGTTCCCACACTGACATGGAAACTCACAACCTTGGGTAAATCCAGTTCCAGGGGATTTGACACCCTCTCTGACCTCTGCATGCACTGCAGGAACATGGTACAAATACATAAGAAATGCAAAATACTCATAAATTTACATATAATCATAAATTTACATATAAATAAATTACAATAAATAAATCTTTTAAAAACTTAAAAATTAGAAACCCTAAAGAGAAACGATATTCTTGTTGACTACACAAGTCTCATAAATATAAGTAGACTAAATAAAAATTTAGAGAGAACTGCTTGTATCAAATATAACAGTGTTACAAGTTCTTATACTTTTAAGTACCCAAGATCAAATAAAGTCAGGAGATGCTATCAATAATTTAGCAAAAAATACAGATTGTTAATCTCAGCTTAAAATAGAAATGGATAATAAAATGTCTAAAAGCCATTCTTTATGAGAAGTGAAATGCATGTGGTCACAATACCATCATTATGACTAAGTTATCCTGCAACAGCTTCATGGCTGTTTGCCTCTTTCAAGGCTGAAGTGGCCCGGGTAGTCATGTACAGTATAAGAATGTAAGCAGAACAACATAAATACATTCTGAAATCTTTAAAGTGGTCCATACATTCTGGCAATGTAAGTCTGCTTCTGAAAGACTATTCTAATGAAATGGCCTAAAATACAGATAAGGGCAAAGGTTTGTATAAGGTGAAGTAGCTAAGCTGATGCCATCTTGTCCTGACTTTATTTTGTGTCTGCCTGGACATTTCTCAGCACTCTACCCCTCAAAAGCCACGTCTACCTTGGCGATGTTTATGGGAATATTCGTGACCCTGGCCATGTTTCAGACATATTAACCAAAAGAACTGATGTTTATACAAGCTTAAATATAAAAATAAAATAACTAAAATGAAGCATAAATCAAAAATAATTGTCATGAAATGCCTGAAAAATACTGCTGAGCTTTGCAAGAATAAAGATGCTACTAGGCCACTCCAAACCCCTCACTGATATGACCCCACCTTGAGAACTGATGTATTATGGGTTTTGTCTTTTAAAACACTGCACCCTGAGCTTGGGCACCAAGAGACATTTTGGAGACATGACCCCACTGTAGTGATATTTCATTTGTATTTTAATAAACAAAGCTTGCCTGAAGATCAGAATGCAAAACAGCCACACTAATCAGTCACACAGGCCAGGCAATGGTGCCACACACCTTTAATCCCAGCAGCCACACTAGCCATAGAGGCCAGGCAGTGGTGGTGCACAGCTTTAACCCCAGCACTAGAGAGGAATATAAGGTGGGATGAGACAGGAACTCCCTCTCTTTCAGTCTGAAGATTTCATAGAGGTAAGAGCTCTCTAGTGGCTTGGCTGCTTTGCTTTGCTGATCTTCAGGTTGAACCCCAATATCTGTCTCTTGGTTTTTAATATTCATGCTATGACCCATTCTTAGTGTGGTCATTAGTAGGACTCATACACTTTTAATTGACTTAACCTGAATGGTTGTCGTTAACTATCTCCCATGGATCATTTCAATTATATTACTGCAGGCAAAAGAACTATAAATGGCCTAAGTATCTTCAATATAATGATAAATATATATAACACAACTGTAACAGAAGATTTTAATGTAATCACTAAGAATGATGTTTTTAGAATAATTTCAATAAGGTCTTATATGTTTGTGATAAAGGGGAAAAAGTAAATTCAATAAAACCACTGCTTCAATACTGGGTTTTTTCAAAACATAAAAGGAAGAAATATTATTTGTAAATAGTAGTGACACATTTTTCCTTTACTTATAGTTTGTTTGTTTAATAAATACTGAAGCTATGTTATTTTTATATTTAGAAACAAGCCTCATCCATTCAATTCCAAATAAAAGTATACCTTTATGCTTCAGTAAAATGCATATAAATTTTATATTTTTCAATTAAATTGGTCACCTCTGCTCAGCTTGATTTAAATATAACAAATAATTTATACATTTTTGTTGAATGAAATAAACTTGCTCAGTATTCTAGAGTCAAGGATAGAAAGTATTCATATTGATTAACAGAATTCAAGCAAATAAAAATTATAATTGGTTTAACATCAAAAAGTCTATTACCTGAGGTGCTTGAGCAGAGGCTGGAGTCGCTCATCTGACTGGACGGCAGGCAGGGACCTGGCTGTTAGCTGAAACAGAGAAAAAGGTCAGGAAAGCGGCAAGGGACACACTGTAAGCGAGCGGGAGTGCTGGGTGAAAACCAGGCAGGCACTTCTGCTCTTAAATCAAGGAATTACTAACTCATCAGGATTAAATAACTACATATATCCAGCACTTGGACGGCTGGGACAGGCAGATGGAGAACTCAAGGCAGCCCGTACTACCCAGAGGAAGCCTGTCTTAGAAAACAAAACAAAGCTAACTACAGCATCTTGGGGTCACAGAATAAGTTCCTGGGCTTTGAACTGGAAAAAAGGGAAGCAAGCAAAGAGCCCTGTCCATCTGAGCCCTGATCATCTAAGCTTGTCCAAAAGAATCTACTCACAAGCGCATTATCTCTGCAAATAAAACTGGAAAATGTTCTAAAAGATAACATGTATCAACCCTAACTTTACAGTAAGACTCTAAGATGACATTAGGAGAGAGACTTTCACTTTTGGCCAAGCGATCATGAAACTGGGATAACTGGAATACACACACACACACACACACACACACACACACACACACATTCTCCCCCCACAATTTCCTTAATATTAACTACCACAATGCTGTAAAAAACCAAGAACATTTTCTAAGACTCAAAATTAACTAAAAGTATCTAATACTAAAATATGATTGCAAATTAATCTAGGAGACCAAAACTGAAAGCCAAGCTCTACTAAAAAGAAATCATCTGAGAATTCACAGAAGGGACCCTTAGGAAAAGTAAAGGGTTAAAAGACATCCTTTGGTATTACATGGGTAGCTCTGCTGTTTTCATATAAAAGTTCCTGAAGACAGAAAACAATTTATTAAAGCAACTCTTTATATTGTTTGCAAATTAAAAATAGAGCTATAATTTAAAATATTAAAATACTCTAATGTAAATTTTAGAGTGGGCTGTAACTCAGTGGCAGAATAGGTCCAAAAAAAAGGCCAAAACACTGTGTAATATCATTTAATTAATGTCTAATAATGAATAGTAAATATTCTAAATTTTACATAAGTCAATAATCAACATTTATTAATAAAACACAATACTGTGACACAATAATATGGTGCAATTTTAGCACAAAAAGATTTTTAGTGCGCATGAAAAATGTTGTCTAGTATGTCATCACCAGAAAAGTTATCCAACTCTACAATATAAGCAAACTTTCACTGCATCCTATCATGGAATCCTTAATGTCAAATCCCTCTACAAAATACCACTTTCATTGTTAAAGAGACGTCATGTCTCAGATCCAAAGCTATTCTCTAAAAGTATTTAATTAACCTATCTAGATATTTGAAAAGCCAATTTTCTAAGAACAGACCAGACAGGCTGAACTTTTTCAAGCACCTGTCAATCTCCATGGCCTGCTTCCTAATTAAAGCATCTTTTCTAAACGAAAGCAGACACCTCTCTGCCACACCACATTGCCTAGACAGCCGTTTCCTCCAAATGGAGGGCTTCCTTAAACCGTCCTTCATCCCTACTCAACCCTCCCCTTCCTTTTCCCTAAACTAGGAATGCATTCTATTCACGACTATATCTGTACCCCCCACCTTTTTGCTTATTTATTTATTTATTTATTTATTTATTTATTTATCCCACACTAAAAGATTGAAGTTTTCAAATTATGATTACTTTTTTCTCTAACTAAAAATTTGCTAATTCTCTTAGGCTTTCAGGTTAAAGTTATTACCAATGATCTCACACCCAAAATTTTACAAAATTTTTATGGGGGGGGGCACATTAGTGAGACACTGAACTGAAAGCGAGAGGCTGAGTCTAGTTTCAGTCGGCTACACTGAAGACTGAAGACACACGGAAGAAGAACACAGGTAGAGAGTCGCCAGTAGAGGGTCACCACGGTTAGGTTTCTAGAGCAGAACAATATAATTTTGAGCCTCTCTACCTGGAACTTAATTAACTGTAACGGCTAATCTTGGCTGTCAACTTGTGCCATCTGGAAAGAAGGAACCTTTCAACTAAAGAACTATCTCCATCCAACTGACGCATGGGCACGGCTGAGGGGCATTTTCCTGATGGCTACTGTGACATTGGTAGTGTAAGAAAGACAACATACCATGAGCCGGAGGGAGCAGAGCAAGCCAGTAAGCAGATTCCTTCACAGCTTCTGTTTCAGTTTCTGTCTCTGCGTGCCTGTTTTGAGTTTCTGCCCTGATTGACTGTAAATTATAATATGGAATAAATCCTTTCCTCCCCATAATAAGTTGCTTTTGGCCATGGTGCTCATTGCAGTAACGAAAAGAAAACTTGGACAAATATCTACCAAGAATGACTTCCAAACTGAAGATTGGAGTAAAATGTTTTCCAAAGACTATCCTTTGCAACTAGTAAAACATTTAGCACTTTCAAACAGTGCATGGTTTTGGGTTAAGGAGCATGGTAATGGATCTATCCCTAAACTGTTAAAGGGGCAGACCCACATGCTGACTTTAAGTGACTACTGCGGCTGGCATTAAGGGACTGCCAGCTTCACAGACAATCTTCAAGCTTCTGAACTACTATACTGGTGTCTTTCCTCCATTCTACCATGAAGCTGCCACAGCCCTAGCAATAATAACTAGCAGATGTGTAATGGAGACGATAGCTATAGAATGTTGACAAGAACTTGCACCTCGCTCTATTAATAGATGAAAAATAAAAAAATTATATCTCTATCTGCACTTGGTAGTTAAAGGCTTTCAAATCCCTGCCTTCATGAAAATTAAATCTAAATCAAAACTAAATGACTGGGAAGTTATCAGCCTTCCCAGAAGGCAATATACTATCAGACCAAGATGTTTATTAGTAGATATTTTAAGCATTTTCCTCTGCAAGTTAAAGTAAGTAGCAATCTAATAAATTTCCTTTACAAATTTCAGTTCTTTATAGAAAATACAAAAATATGCTCTGTATGAATCCCAAATTATAGTTACCTTAAGGAACCATTGTTGGGGGATATTCAATCACACTGTGCACTGAGTTAGCATTGACAGAGTCATCATAGAGCATTAGAGGGCATCTAGAAGAGATACAGAGACACACTGAACGTAGTAGGGAGGGATTTTGAGCGGCATGACTCCTTTTGTTTTGGAGTGGAAGAACAGGTCTTTAGGGAGATGCCAGAAAGGAGAAGTTAGCTATTTGCTACTCAACCTCTCTGAGCTAGCAGATTTTCACTCCAGACTTTGAGTCTCAAGTCTTACTTATGAAAAGAACAACAGAGATTTAGTAAAGCTACCTTTATTGACAGCAACAGAGCTTGCCTGTGGGAACAGAATTCCCACCAGGCTGAGGCCTGAGTGGCCAGGCGCTGCCAGGGAAGCAGGCCCATAACTGTGGACTCACAATGCAGCCACTGTGCTGAAGATAGAATGGCAAACCATCACACAAGTTAGCATAACTTAGACCTTATACAGCACTGAAAAGGCAGACCTAAGAATACACCTAGTATATTGAATGAAGCAAAACAAGTTTGTGTTATTTCTAGGCAAGCTTACCAAGTGACTGATTTCCCTTCCCTTTGGCTTTTTTTGTGACAGAGTCTCTCTATGTAGCCCTCAGTGACTTGGTCTCAAAGTTGAGGGAACCCGCCTGGCTTTATCTCTAGAGTACTAATGTTACGGGAATGAGCCGTTACAACTGGATTCAGTGGTGCTTAGATCTATTTTGTTTTAACGAATTCTATCAGGCTAGAGAGATGGCTCGGCACCTGCACGTACTACTTACCCCTCAAAGGACATGAGTTTGGTTCCTGGCACCAACAATGGGCAGCTCACAAACAACTCCAGTTCCAGGAGTTCACATTCCCCTGGTCTCTGTGGGCACTTGCACTCACACGCATATATCCACAAAAAGACACATAATTTTAAAAATAATAAAAATGAGATCAAATCAAACCTCTGAATGTGGCTAACAATGAGGGCTGACTGAGAAGCCAAGGACAATGGCACTGGGTTTTGATTATACTGCATGGACGGACTTTGTGGGAGCCTGGTTTGTTTGGATGCTCACCTTCCTAGACCTGGATGAGTGGGGGAAGGACCTTGGACTTCCCACAGGGTAAGGAACCCTGACTGCTCTTAGGATAGAGAGAAAGGGAAATGGGAGGAGGGGAGGAGGTGGAAATTTTTAATAAATAAATAAATAAATAAATAAATAAATAAATAATATAAAACAAATAAACCATATAAAATACAAAAAGATTGGTATCATTGAGCAAATCTCACACAGAGCCAGGTTAACATCAAAGATCTGTACACACAGCACAAAATATTCCTCTCTGCCACTGTCAATCTTGACTCATCCCCACATGGCCTGTGAGGACTCGGGAGTTGTGCCTGATCCTGGGACGCTTATGCAATGCAGACAGGGCAATGGTCTGCAAGCTTCACTTCATCTCCGCATTTTCAGTTATCAAGATGACCAAAGCATTCCTTCTCGACATGTGGGATCTGGCTCACGTGCAGCCTTCACAGAGGCCTGCTCAGCCCTGGAAAGCAGCATCTCAGCTGGTATTCTATTCTCACAACATTCACCATCACCAGTACATTTCTAGTCATTGCTCTACTGTTCCTCATTCCCCACAACATACACAAGTCCCACCGGCCCAGGCATTTCGTCTCCTGCCTCCACTTTCCACCAGCGCTGAGGACGGGTGCAGCGGTCATGCCGCAGCACAGGTTATGGAGGCCCTTCCCTCTAAGACATTTCCCCGCAGTTGGTTAGAAAGGCTGCCCTGGGCAATGATTCTGTTGGCCTTGCATTCTAACTCCATTAGTAAATGCAACTTACTATCCAGAGGACCACAGACATTTTCCCTTTCGTTTCTAGCTCAATAGGACATCTAAAGACTTCTTTAAATACAGCAAGTGCTCCATAGATGGATGCACTGGCTAGTTTAATGTCAACTCGACACACAAACTAGGGTTACCTGAGGGGGGAAACATAAGAAAATACCTCCATAAGATCTGGCTGTATGGCATTTTCTCTAGT